GAACCACCATGCCCGGCATCTCCTGAGGATGTTTCTGAGGCTTTTATTTTGGGGTATCCTGAGCTCCAACAGTTTCATGCCCTACTTTTTAAATAAGTAAACCTGTAGGGATTTAAATGATTTTGGTGGATTTGGTGGATTAAAATTAAAGGCCTTTAATTTTAAAGATAGAAGGTAAAGAAGAAGGTAAAGCACTTGAAAGCCAGAACTGGTTTAAACCAAAAACAGCATTTATTGCTCACTCTGCCCTCGGTTCTACCTTGATTAGGTAGTAGAAGGGAAAATGTTTACACTTCTACTATGTAAGCACCACAAAACCTGAAAACCATATTTTGTGAAATAATAGAACACATTTTCAGGTTTTATTGTCAAACTAAGGGAAAACAGAAGTACCGTTAGCCTGCCAAGTGCCACTGTCCCTAATCACAAGAGACATTTAGAGGTACCAGCTGTGGAATTTGCTTCTTGCCTTTCTTCAGAATCACAAGCTAATCATTAGCTTTCCTGCTCCTTGCACTTTCCCGAGCTCTGGCCAGAAGATGCAGGCAGAGGTGTTTACATGCTCCAGAAACCTTTTTCCTTGCCTGTTAGAAGCTTCTGGTGTCTAGCAGTTGCAGATCTCAGTGGAGCACCAGAGGCTGCATATGGTCACTGAGCCAGTGGTGGGTCAAAACCCTCATGCTGTTTGTTAAACTCCATGCATCAGTTTGCCAAGGCTGCCATAACAGGGTTCCACAGACTGAGTAGCTTAAAAAAACCCAGAAATGTATTGTCTGAGAGTTCTGGAAGCTAGAACTCCGAGATAAAGGTGTTGGCAGAATTGGTTCTCTGAGACTGTGAAGGAGAATCTGTTCTGTGCCTTCCTCCTAACTCTCTCAGTGGGTTGCTGATATCCTTTGGTGTTCCTTAGCTTGTAGGTCCATCCCCCTGATCTCTGCCTGCATGTTCACATGTTGTTCTCCCTGTGGGCCTATTTGTTTCTGTGTCAAAATTTCCGCTTTTAATAAGGACACCGGTTACATTGATTTAGAGCTTACTCTAATGGCCTCATTTGAATTTGATTACCTCTCTAAAGACCCTGTCTCCATAAAACATCCCATTCTGAAGTACTGAGGCTTAGAACTCCAATAGATCTTTTTTGGGGGGAACACAATTCAACCTAACATTCAGGAAGGATGAGGCCCACACTGTTTGTAATCAACTTCTCTGTAGAGCTGCTGGACCACTCCTGCAGGGAGGCAAGTCACAGATGGGGAGAAGGAAGAGTTGGAGAGCTTGCTGATGGGAACAGGCTTAAAGTGTTCTGTCCTAGTGCGATCTTGAAGTCACTGCACAGGGGCCCAGACTTCAGCTGTCCATTTTAACAAACTGGCAGAATTTCTGAGACCCGTGTTGTGAATTGGGGCACAGAACTGTTTTAAGGGAGTACAGATGTTCCTCTTGTGTTGTTGCTTATTGTCTGTTGGGGAAGATGGGAGAGTCTCAGGGCTTGCAGAGGTTGAGGGTGGAGTACGGGGGTATGCAGGGGAATCACAGAGGGCCTCCCAGCTGCAGAAATAGACAGTGCTTACCGACCAGGCCGTTTTCATGTGCCAGGCTTTGGTCAGGTACTAGGCTGGGTGGCTGGTGGTTGTGGTAAGGAGGCGTAGCTCAGTTGGTTGTGGTGATCATTTAAGGCAAGCTTGTCCAACCTGTGGCCCAAGATGGCTTTGAATGTGGTCCAACACAAGTTCATAAACTTTCTTAAAACATTGAGTTTTTTTGTGATTTTTTTTTTTTTTTTTTTTTTAAGCCCCTCACCAGCTATTGGTAGTGTTAGT